CCAAGGGCAGGAGAGGAGACAGCCGGGGAGCAGGGCGAGCGGGCTCCGCACAAAGGAAGGGGGCTCCCCTAGCAATTTCCTGGGACCCAGGAGTTGTTCGGAGGAGGCACCTCTCAACCCACTGGGAAAGCGGCTCCTCTTTCCGGGCTTCGCCCTCCTGTCTCAGGCTAGCGCACGCGACGGGGCTGGCGTATCTGAAGCTCCGACAACCTCCCCACCTGGCTCCAGGTGTGAGGGCTCCCCACGCTTCTAGAACTATCCTCTCTGGGGCCGCCAGGGGGCAGCCACGCCCAGGGTCCCTTCCTCCGCAGGGCAGACCCGGCATGCAGGCCCCGTATTTTCAGAAATAGCTGCAGTCCTGGCTGTGCTGACCTTGACTAGACAGACACACCCCAGAGCGAGGGAACAGTTGCCCTTGACCTCCTGGCTCCTTTCTGCGCCTGTGTGTCCAAGGACTTGGCTCTCTGCACGTCCCTTTTGTCCGCAAGCCCTCGGAGTCTTTGGTCGTCTTCCTCAGTGGCGCTGTTGATGCCCAGAAGTCAGCCATCTCTTCTTTTTTTAAGATTTATTTTATTTTATGCATACAAGAGCTGGGGCACAGGCCAGAGGTGTGGGGGGTGAGAGGACACCAGAGACAGAGTGGGGAACAGAACAGGCAGACTGACTGAGATACACTGCTGAGGGGAGCAGCGGGTGAGACAGGAGAGGTCTGTTGCGCCATGTGGGTTGCTCCCTGGCTGGGGATCAAACTTGTGCTGCAGTGGCTGCGGATAGCTTCATAAGATGCGTCTTAACCCCTTGCACCACCAGGGAGACCCCAGCCATCTGCTGATGTGGATTTAAGGTAGAGCTTAATCCCCAAAGAGCGGCATTTGGGCCTCTATTCATTGCAGCCTTGTCTGGAGACTCAGCTTATGGAGTCCACGACAGTTTCTCTGCCCGTCAGCTTATTTCTAATGCTCACAGGGGTTTCTGTTAGATGGCAGCCAAGTGCCAAGGGGGCGATGGACATTCAGAGCCAGTGCAGAGGCAATATTTCCCTGTGCAGTGCCTTAGTGTACAAAAAAGAAAACAAACCGGGCCTCCCCTGGTGGTGCAGGCGGTTGAGCGCAGCACTGTGAAGCTGTCTGCAGCCTCTGCAGCACGGGTTCTATCCCAGCTGGCCAGCAAGATTCCCGCAAGGCGCCACAGACCTCTCCTGTCTCCCCGCTGCTCCCCTCAGCAGTGTATTTCATCAGTCTGCCTGTTCTGCATCCCGCTCTGTCTCTGGTGAATCCTCTCACCCTCCTGCACTTCTGGCCTGTACCCTGGTTCTTGTATGCATGAATAAATAAATCTAAAAGAAAAAAATCTTAAAAAAAAAAAAAAACCACAACCATGTAATCTCAGCCCTCCTGCTGTGTCCAGGAGCTTGAGCTCTCATGGCCAACGGTGATGACCTGTCTCCTGACCCACCTCCTAGGTCCCCAGGGGCCCCGGCCTGTGAAAGCAACTTGGTGGGAGGTGACATTAGGGAAGCCGAGCTCCTGCTGACTTCCTCCTTCAAGCAACCACGACCTTGGGTATGTCCTTGAGCATCCTCAAGCCTAAGTTTTCTCAGCACTTAAGTGTCGGCTGAAGCCAAGTGTACCTTCATGGAGCTAGCTCTCCTTCCTGAGCGTGTGCACGCGTTTCTGGAGCTTTTAAAGTCTTTTGTCCAGCCAGCCCAGGGAGCTCCGGGAGAGATGAGGGGGATGATTTTCTTCAGGCTGGTTGATTTATCACCACCATAGTTTTGCAGAGCTTCAGAGCCTGCTTTGTCCACAAGTATCGTTGATACCGGAATTGTCAGGCCTGGTCTCCCAGCCAGGAACGGATCCCAGGCTGCAGGGCAGCGCTGAGCCCCAGCCACTAGACCCCCACGGGTTGGTGTCTCACGAAGCCGCAGCAGGAACTTCGCATTTGTGTGGTGTTTAGTGAGGGATGACTTTTTTAACTGTTACATTGGGACCATTTATTTTTTACTGGGTCTCGGCAGCTCCCCCTCTGCTGAAGGCAAGGGAGGATGGCCCGAGCTGCTGGGAGATCAGCCCCTTATGTGCAGCTCCTGGATGGCCTCTACATGACGTATGTGCCTAGCTCTTCGGAGACCGGAGTCCCTTATATGACGACAACCAGACTTTTATTTTTTGACTGGCAGATGGGCTAGTCCCCTTACCTGGTCTGGTCACCAGTTTATCCTTTCAAAGGAGTCTTTAAGGCAGTGGCCCTTTGGCATTTACTGACTGTCCTGTGCCCTTTTTATGGCCTCTTTGATGGCTCCGAGAGAAAGAAAATGTTTAGCAAGAGAAGTTTAGGACAAGCTGAAGATAGAAACAATTTGTGCCTCTCGGCTGACTTACCTTAAATCTTGTGAGATCCCGGACGAGCCCCCAAAAATGATACCGGAATTGTCAGGCCTAGTCTCCCAGCCAGGAGTGGATCCCAGGCTGCAGGGCAGCGCTGAGCCCCAGCCACTAGACCCCCACGGGTTGGTGTCTCACGAAGCCGCAGCAGGAACTTCGCAGACGCTCAGGCCAGCAAGCGAGAAGAGGCAGGTTTGTTTAGAGAAAGAAAAAGTTTATTGAGGAGAAAAAGAGCAGAAATAAAGTGGGACTCCCAGGGAGCCAGGCCTGGGAGGGGCAAGGAAGCCAAAGTGGAGTCATGTCCCAGGGAATATAGACCTTCTTTCCCTGATTATTCTAAAGCTCCACCCGTCTCTTTGCGATTGGTCAGTTCTCAGCTGTCTCACTTAATTTGCTATTGAGTGGGGGATCTTCACATTCCTTGTTTAACAGGTCTGTCTTTCCCCATTTATTACATCTTTATCTTTATGGCCTAGTCTTCCGGGAAAGCGTCTCCACACTTTATCTTTATCACCTGAAGAAAGCCAGGACCATCCTTAACAATATTGTCCGTGGTTCTGGAATGTTTGTTTTTCCCATTTTGTTAACAATGGTCCTGGGATGTTTGTTTTTCCCAGTGGAATTGGTTACATTCCCTTGGTTGTCCTTATCTCTGAAGCCTCCCTAAATTCTTCAGAGGTCCCCTCCTACACTGTCCCTAAAACTACCTAATAACCCTAGCTTGCCCTGTGTCTCATTGTGGGCCTGTTGGAGCAGCCCAGGGTGGTTGAGCCTGTACCCACAGGCCCTCAGGGTGGCTGATGCAGTTTCCCAGGCTGGACACAAAACAAGTCACTTTTCCCACCAGGATGAGCTGCCAAATTCCTCCCCCTGTTGTCCAGACACCACCCCAGCCAGAGGGGACCGTGCCTGCCCAGTGCCTCCTGCAGCACCTTGGTCTGAACTGAACCCCTGATGTCCCGAGGGAGGGGCTGTTTGGGAGAGGGTGGGGCTGAGTGGCCATCTGGGGAGGCTTTGGAAAAGTGTAGTGCACAAGGGCTTGCTCTCTCTCTTTGTTATCAGAGCTGCTCTGGACAGCAGCTGCCCCCCTGGCTGGGCGAGGGTGGACCTTCGAGGAGGGGACAACCTCAGTGGGGCCACCCTGCCAGCTCCTGCAGCTGCAGCTCCACTCACACCATCGGTCAGTAACTGGACCTTCTCCCTCACCCTGCTGGCTAAAATTAATCTTTTTTTTTGTTGCTGTACCCAAAGCCCTTTTGCTTGCATTTATGGTGGTGGGTAGCTGGACCCAGAACCTATGAGAGAAATTCAACCCAAGAGTTTGGGGGCCCTCTGCCTGGTTATGGGTTTTCTCTCCAGGGCAGAGCCCCACACTAGTCCCAAGAAGTGGCGGAGGCCAAAATGATGAAACCCCCTTGACGGTTACAAAGTGACATCCTAAAGGGACAGTCACATGGGCGGGATGTCCTCATGGTGACAACAACCTGATGCAGTTCATCAGGGAACTGGGACCCAAGGGTCCAGGCTCCCAGGACCACGCTTGGGGGCCCAGTGAGTCCACCTGCTCCTGTGGCCAAAACTGGGCAACCCTTGGGATGCAGCCTCCCTCCTCGACTCTGTCTTCTATCACATGTGGCCTGAGATGGCCCAGGAGCCATTACTGAAGGCAGAGGTGTGGGCACATCTGAACCAGAGTTCATGACACGACACTGCCTTAACCTTTGACCTAGCAGTTTAGCTAACTCACTGTGCCACATTCTTCAGGGCTGCAGCAACGACTTGCTTACGTGAAAGAGACATTTTGTTCCTCCTGAGGAGGCGGATAACATCAGTACCTGATGAGCACCCACTGGCCATTTTAAGCTGATAACACAGAAGAGAGCAATTTTCCAGGAAGGGCATCGATAATCCCAGGCCTGACTGCTCTGAGACTGCGGGTGTCTTCCCGGACCTGAGAATAAAGAGACCCTCCCCTGCCCCCCACATCCTTGGATTTCTTTCATTCCTATGCACCTTTCTTTACTTACCACTCAAAGTGACAGTCTCTTTAGAATACTAACTGCATCTCCCGTGGTGGGGCCACATGTTAATAAAGGGTTTCCTCTGTGGAAATAAGTGATACAGCCTGGTTAGGTTGGTAAGTCGAGGTTGGAAACCAGTGATCTTGGATAGATTTCAGTTTAAGGTCATATTTTGTTTTGCTCACACAATTTAAAAAAAATTGAATTGGCTTCCAACATTGAAGAAATCATGAAATTTCAAATAAATATTCATATTTCCAGCTTCTCTTAAAAGCAAATCCCTAAGACTGTACCCACATCCAGCTGGCTGAAAATGCCCAGAGCTAAGCAGCAGCAGCAGCGTCTCTGTTTAAGGATTGGGCGCCACAGTTTGCCTCCATCCCTATCTGAGCTTTGCTCCCTTGCTTTCAAGCTGGGCACCAGGGTTCAGTGGTAGAGTTTAACTATCTTGCTTCCTTATTTCTGAGCTTGAGGGCTGCCTCATCAGAGTCCCCCCAAGAACAAACATCCACTTTCTAAAACCATCCTAGCAATATTAACAGACGCACACCACAGATCATGATAAAACACTTTAATCTTTGAAAATGATCTTCTTGATACTTCAGTAGACATGTTGTCCTATCCAGTGAACACATGGACTAGTGCATACAGAATATTAATTGGGATTTTAGACTTAAGGCATTCAGAGTAGTACCTAGACATAGCCAGCACTCCATGTGTGGTGACAAGCATTTGAAAGTTGTGGCTTCTAAGAGGTTTGAGGGGGTGTGGGAAGAGAGCTGAAGGCCAGGGAGAAACAGAGTTCATGGGATCCCCTTCTGCCTTCAAAGCCACAGGAAACTCAGTGGGAAAAAGGGAACTGGTGATAACGAGCCAGTCCAGGGCTTGGAAAGCCAAGGTCACTGTGTCCTGCAAATAACACAGTTAATGACGGACTCTGATGCCCTTCACCCCACACTCCCAGCCTGCCTTTCCTTCACAATGAGCCATTTGTGTCTGTCAGGGGCAAGGAACTCACACAGAGATCATGAGATGCTACCAGTCATGCATGGGCTTCCAGCAGCCCATGAACCCCCAAGATGGAAGGCAGGACAGTGCCTCTCTGTGCATTTTTGGGTGGAAGGAATCTTAGAGTCCACAGCCTCTAAGACTATAAGATTACTATAGTAATCGATGCCAGGGGTCTTCCCTGGCATGTCCTCCCAAGGACCGCTGCCCACAAGCACACCAGAGACTTGCCTTCTACCACATGTAGTCGGCGCTGCCACTGGACCAGGTCAGACGGGTCCATTTGAGATTGATGAAAGACAATGATATTTACATGTTGCCTTTCATTGATATGATGCCAGGTTCTTAACAACTGTTTTACTAAAATATTCCTCTCTGTTCAGGCCCACAAGATGTCAGGGTATCTCATACACTCAACACTGGGGTGGCAGCTGGAGAAGGTTAAACCCAAGGCACAGGCTCCGTGATGCCCTCGGGAGGTCCCGTGACAGGCGTCCTCCTACGGCGTGAGGACATTCCAGCTCATCTGTCTTTACTGCAATCCTCCCATCTCTGGTGTGTGAAGGAAGTTTCCCAGGGGATCTTCTCTCTGATGAGGAGGAAGGCACTGGGGGCAGGGGAGGGGCACTGGATGAGCTTTCTGTGGCTGCTGTAACAAAATAACTCAAACTATGACTCAAAATAATAGAAAACCATGGTCATAGGTTCTGGAAGCCGCAAGCCTGAAATCAAGGTGATACAGGATCATCCTTCTCTGAAACCTGTAAGGAGAAGCCCTCCTTGCTTCTTCTAGCTCCTGGTGGTGGCCATCAACCCTGACTTTCCTTGGCTCATGGACACATCACTATTGTCCCTGCCTCTGTCATCACAAGGGGTTCTCCACATGTGCCCATGTCCAAAGCTCCTTCTTTGCCTAAGGACACCAGACAGACTATATTAGACCCTCTCCCCTAACAGCCTACTTAAAGTCATTAACTTGATTATATCTATAAAGACCTCTATTTCTAAATAAAGTCACATTCAAAGAATCAGAGGTTTGGACTTGAACGTATCTCTCAGGGGGACACAGTTCAACCATAGCAGACACATCACTTCCAAAGGTCCCATCACCTCTGTCCCATGTGCTGGCACCTCCTCTTGCCTACCTCCACTCCTTCCCTTGGGCTCACCAGGGGGGTGCCTCCCAACTGTCATAAGTGAGCACCTTCTCCTTGGTATACATTCTGAAGTGGGAATTTTTTTCCCTGCATCTCAGTCCTGTAGGACTGAAGTTCCTTCTAGATCAGGGTGTGTGGGTAGAAAGTGCATCTGCAGGTGTGAACCTGTGCATGTATGTGTGTTTGCATGTGTCTCTGTGTGTGCCGGTGTGGTCTCCACATGTCTGTGTGTCTGTGTACACGTGCACCTATACACAAGCATCTATGTGTATATCTCTGTATCTGTTCACATGTGCATCTGTGGATGTGAGTGTGTATCTGTGTGTACTGGGGAAGAGAAGGAGATACGTGTGAAGGGTGTAAGGGAAAAGTAGGAGGCAGGAAGACAAGGGGAGGGCAGAGCTACAGTAGTGAGGGTAGAAATGACCAGATCAGAGTAACACTGTCCTGCAATATGGGAGAGTCTGCGTGTGACAAATATGGAAATATTACACTGTTGGTCTCAGTCTCATTACATTAGTTAGGATATCAATTCTGCTACTTTAACAGAAGCCAAAATAACAGCAGTTAAAGGAAGACCAGAGTTATCTTCTCTTTCTTATAAATTTTCAGCTGGTGGCTGGTCCAGAAGAGGGAGCCTCACCCTATGGTGTTGATCAGGGACCAGACTTGTTGCTCTGCCATCTGTGAATTTACTGCCCCTTTCCAGGGTCAAAGCTGGCTTACCACCTCTCCTGCCTCCCAGACACTGGGGAGGGTTTTTTTTGGGGGGGTGGGGAGTGGAGGACATGTCCTCTCAAGGATCACTGGACGTTGCACTCATCACTCCCACGTCTACTGGCCAGAACTTGATCACTTGCCTTGCTAGCTGCAAGGGAGTCTGGGAAACACAGCTCTTATTAGAAGTCATGATCTCTGGGGTTCTACTAAAATTAAAAAGTCAGGGAAGCACTGTGGAATAGCTAGTCTATTAGAGAAGGAATATGATTTTGGAAATAGAATTATTAATCTACCCCTCATCCCTAACAATAGCAACAAAATAATAACCATTGTATCCACATAGAGAAACTATGAGAGGCACAGGATTGGACGAGGCTGATGGTCCAGTAGGATGTGTCCAGTTTTAAGCAGCTGTGTGGTCATGACAAAGGCTTAGTCTCAGGAAGGTGTGTGCTGGGTTGCTCCGCAGCCAAGGGGTTTTCAACGACAAAACATGCTCTGCAGTTCTCCAGAACCCGGGCCTGGAAGTACACCTTGTCCTTCTGGTGCCAGGTGTCAGACTCAATGTACACATTGAATGGGTCATGGGAGTGCTCCAGCTTCTTGGAGCGGATGTAGCTCAGCATGATGCCCAGAGTGAAGAAGCCAAAGAAGCCCAGCACCATGAGGATGTACAGGGCCTCCAGCTCACCCTCGCCACCGCCGGGGGACCTGCGGGACAGGCTGGAGGCATTGCTGCCCTGCGGAGCCGCCCCTGGCCACAGGCTGGTCAGGAAGGGAATTGTCTCTGTAGAGTTAGATGGGTTCATCCTGAGCTTGATGGTTCTACTGCTGGAGGGTGAACTTCTTGGGCAGACTTTCTGAAAGAAAGGTGCTGTTTGAAGTCAAAAGGTATTGGCCAAAACCCACAAATATATGCATGCATGTGCACACACACACACACACACAGTTTTAAAATCCCAGGCATGGGTGTGGGAGTCCCTAACATACTCCCCATCAATCACCTGTGCCTCTTGGGGTCTGCACAGTGACCTCTCTTATGGGCAAGTTGACTCCCCTTTGTTTCTGCTCACCACAACCCCGCCCCCCCACCCATGGGGGACTCCAGAGTGAATTCCTCCAACAACAGGTCGTGTGTCGTGTGGTGTGTGTGAGTTCTTCTTTCTGCGCTATGAATTGAGTTGTGTCTCCCCCACCCATAGGCTGTAGCCCTAACCCCTTAGGTGACTTGGAAATAGTGTCTGCAGGAGCTAATTCAGGTTAAACGAAGTCATAAGGGTGAGGTCCTAATCTTACAGGACTCACAAAAATCTTATAAGAAGAGGAAGAAACTCTCTCTCTCTTTGTCTCTCTCCATCTCTCTCTGTGTGTATCTCTGTCTCTCTGTGTGTGTGTGTGTGTGTGTGTGTGTGTGTACGTGTCCGTCTGTCTTTGTCTCTCACGCTCTCTCATCGCCACATGAAGACACAGCCGTCTGTGCGCCAGGGCGAGCGCTCTCGTGAGCAATTAGATTCTGCTGGAAGCTTTGTCTTGGTTGGAATTTCCAGTCTCTGAAACTGAGAAAGTCCATTTCTTCTGTTTATGCCCCAGTCCGGCATTCTGTCCTGGCAGCCCGAGTGGACAGCAGGTGAGTGTGGGGAGTGGGAGGCAGCTCAGCCCACGAATTAACCGGCCGTGAGTGTCTCAGGAATGAGCGTGTTGGTTTTCCCACCTCGCTGAGGATTAGCGGCCCAGGGATTGGGGAGTGTGGGGTTCCAGGTTTGCCTCTGCCACAGCTGACAACTGCGTGTCTTCCTCACCTCATGGAAAAGTCACATGAGAAACACGTTGGCCTGTGTCTTTCCTGGCGGCTCTGGGGCTTTTGGGTCTGTGCCCGGAGATCTGTTAGGGGTTAAGCTGTGCGAGTTCAAGAAACTCCCAGCTACTGATGTTTATACGAAACCAGCCTTTTGCCCCATTTTAACCAGCAGGGCGGGCGGGAGTCAGATGGTAACAACTTTTGTTGTTAGACGGAGCTGCTGGTCAGCTGGAAATCACTCAAACACGGAGCCCCAGGCAGCTGGACAGGAGGCTCCACAATTTCTTCTGAAATGACTTGAAACCACTTATGCATGCAAGGACCTGCCCCAGAAACCCAGGGGCTCTGAGCTGCTAGTATAATCTTTTTCCAAAAACCTAGAGTGACCACAATTGGCAAGTAACCCTGCTGCTAATCACTGCCGGAGAGGTCTTATCCCTCAGTGGCCACGCGAGGCTAGAATGATGGCGACGACCTCCAAATGTGAATTGGTCCCGACCTCGTCACTGCACACAGTAAGTCAACTGGAGAGCAGCTTCTGCAATGAATGCAGATGGGTGGGTTCAGCCAGAAGACCTGTTGCTTAAAACCAGATGGACGACTCTGGGGCTGGAGGAAGCAACCAGAAACATCTGCTTTGAAAAACTGCCAGACCAGCCATTCCCAGCCTCACGTCCAGATGAGGACACTCTGCTTTGAAATGCGCCAGCAGAAGACACCCTTGTCCAGCGTGGGGTGTTGGGGGGTGGGTGCTGGGCTCCTAGTGTGGACAGGTGAGGGGCAGGCAAGGCAGGAGCAGCAGCGACTCAGGGAATTCCAATTCCAAACAAAACCACCCCGGAAGCTGAGCCTGTGTCCCACATCCCAAAAACTGGCCTGGGTGGGCCCAGAAAGAAGAGGGTTTCAGAAGTTTCTGTCCTACCTGGATTTGAGTCTCCCCAGGACGCACAGACACTGGCCCCAATCAAGGTTAGTGCAATTTTTGCCCTTCACTTAGACTCAGAACTGCTGGAAGAGTCACTCAGGATTCAGGGCTATGGGTGGGCAGCTGAGCAAGACGGCCGTGTCCACCATGCTGGGGCCCACGGGGGCCCCCAGCTACACCCAGAAGAGGGGGCAGTGGTGATGTCACATTGTCCTGGCACAAACTAGGCCCTTCTGCATCTGTCCTACATGTCCCAGGAATGTCTCGTATCGGCACCGATAACAGCCTGGAAGCTCTTAGACAGAGTAACTGGGGTTGCCATCCTCGCTTCCTTCTTGAGCACGCGCTGAGCAGGCAGCCTTCTGAGGCTGCCCCGAACTTCCTTCTGGGAAGCACAGACTGTGGGGTGAGCAGGGGAGTGGGCAGTGCCGGCTCAGAGTTCAGGGACCTGAGTTCTGCCCCAGTTCAGTCCCAAATAGCCCACAGGGTCCCGCGGGACCATCGCTGCCTCTCTGGGTAGGACGGGAATCGCCCCGCTGTCCTCAGCAGCGCCCCTTGATGCCGCCACTTGCCCTTTCCGTGAAAGGACCTCCAGTCTCCACCTCACCAGCAGGCCTTGTTTGTTCCAGAAAGCAGACTTCCAGAAGAAGGTCCGGCCAAGTCAGGGCTCCTGAGGCAGTGCTCCCGGGAAGCAGCTGCCGCTTGTTTACACTGTTATCCTAACATCTGGTCCACATGCTGAAGACAGGCTTACCTCCCGACAGGCGGGGGCTCCCCACACCCCTGGACTCTGGCAGTTAGCTGGCTCGGTCTTGACCTTCCCACCTGACCATCTCTGGGGAGGCAGCCAGTGACTAGGGTGCCGGGTTGCAAGGAATTGGGGTGAACCCCATCTAGAGGCACCACCTCGTCTATCCTGGCAGACCCGAGGGGAGCCCCCCGCCACCTCCCAGCTGGACATGGGGTGTGGCTCTTGAGCCTGGTCACAGACTGTGGGTGGGAGCAAGGGAGCTTTGGGGTGTCAAGGGTGGAAGGGGAACCACTCAACTGGCGAGAGGGACCCAGTGACACGGAAGATGGGGAGAGGGTGAGCATCCTGGTGGGGGACGGAGGGACGGGATCCCCGTGCTGGCGGGCAGCTGGCGGCGGACAGAAGGAGGGAGATGGCGCTCACCTTCCACAAATCAGACGCTCAGAAAGCCTCGGTCTCCTCATCTGACATGTGGGAATAATGGAGCCCCCTGACTAGCCTGCGGGGTTGTGCGAGACACGGACTGCGTCCACAGGCTGCGGCCTGCTGCCGGGGCCGCGCTCTCCACCGGGGAGACACCACCACCGCGTCCGCCTGGCCCCCAGGGCCTCCCGGGCGGCCCCTCCCTTCTCTGACCCTCCTGCCCGGTCCCCTGTGGACCTGACTGGGCGAATCCTCTGGGAGCTCAGGAAACCAGCGACTATCTTGCTCACCTTGACCCCAGTGCAGCACCCAGAAGACTCAGGAGCCACTGCTGGGTTCCGTGGGGATGCAAAGTATCACAGTTAACACCACCCCAGCGTGAACGTGGGCGCCAATAGCTGGCAAAGTGTAGCACATTCTGGAAAGAAACTGGCGGGTGACCAGGTGAAAGCCGCTCTCAGGGCAGTGTGTTCTGATGTCATACATCCACGATGTTCTTCACCTGTAGCATTTATTTTGCTTGGGTCATTTATTTGAGATATGAAAATGTATGTTAATAATTAGCTTACACGTGTGTCTGCACCCCGCCTGAAAGGACCCCTCACCGCTAACAGTTCAGAAGATGTTCCTCTCCCCTCCCCAACTCCAGCCGCCCTTACCCTGGGACGTACCCCCTGCTCGTACAATTTCCCTACCGTGCTCGTGGCTGCTTCGCCCCATCCAAATGCAAGGGGGGGAGGCAGGGATCCTAGTGTGTGCTCCCCACCCCCATCCTGAGGACTGCAGCAGGGCTGGCGGGGAGCACGCGGGACCCCAGGGGTGCAGGCAGGCAGGCAGGGATGCATGAAAGCTCCATTCAATGCCACAGAGGCCCCACCCCACCCCCCAGCCCCGCTCACCAGCTCTGCCTTCAGGGACGGAGGGTGGCGGAGCCTCCCCTCCTGTATGTCTCCAAAGTGTCCTGGGTTCTCACAGCGGCTCACTTCTCAGTCTGCCGGCAGAAGCCCACCTGCCTGAGTGCTCTGGAGACAGCGCGCCTTCCTCGGGGGTCCTCGCTCGCCTCCGAAGGGCAGCACGAAACCGCGGGAAGGTTTTGCCCCTCCCTGAGATCCCGAGACGCAGCGGTGCCGGCAGCCCAGTCCTCACGCCTGAACCCCAGCCCCGGCGAGAGCCCCGCGAGGCGCCCCGCGGAGACCCGGAGCGCAAACGCCAGCCCCGGGCGCGCAGCCCCGTCCCAACCCGAGGGTGGACTCCAGCCGCTGGTCATCGCGCGCGCTGTTCCCACAAATCAAGGGAGGGGCGGGGGCGGGTGAAGAGTGGGGGGGGGGTGAGGAGGGGGGCGGGGGTGAGGAGTAGGGGTGGGGGAGGGGAGCGCACAGCGTGAGGTGGCGCCGGCACCCGGCGGCCGCTCGGGTCCAAAGGCGCACGTGTCCCCCAATTTCTACACTCCAGCGCGGGCTGATGCTCCCGCAACCCAGACCTTCCTCTGGGGAGACGCCAGTCCAGGCACCTTCCTGCTTGGAAACAAAAAAAGTTCCCTCCGAGGCCCGGGGTGTGCGACAGGGGCGGGGAGGGGGGTGACAGGGCGGGCCGGGGCGGGGTGCGGGGTGCTGGCGGGCGTGCCGGCTTTCTTTGGAGAGCGCAGATACTTCCCCAGAGTCTGCGAGGAGCCTGCACCCTAACGTGGGGAGCTGGGAGCTGTGGTCGGCGCCGGTGGAGAGGTGCTCTTCCAGGCGCCCCGGCCGGGGCGCTCCACCCTCTGTGGGTCTCACACTCGGGGAGTCGCCGGCCTCTGGCCTGGGGGCGCCCGGGGCGCACCTGGGAATGAGACCCGACTCGCTGGCTCCACCTCAAGGTCGCCCTACGGGGATGCCCCAGTGCAGGGCGAGGACCCGAGGCGGGACCCCGACTTAGTGGGTGCGCGCGGGGAGCCCTGCGCACGCCGGAGGAGGCTGGGGTCGAGGCAGCGCCCGCGGGTGCGCGCGGCGCGGGCGGGGCTCCCCGGAGCCGGCAGGCGCCCCACCTCCAGCGCCGCCGCCGGGCCCACCCCCACCCTGGGGCGACCCGAGCTCCCGCAGCCCCAGCCCATTCCAGGCCTCCGCACCCCGCTCTGGGGGCGCTAGCGGGGGCGGACAGACCTTCCGCTGCCTCCAACAAAAAACCCTCCAAGAGACCCACATCTTCTGCCAAGAGCCCAGAAAATCACCCCTTCAAACAGCTCCAAGCAATCACTTCAAAGTCGGCGCCCCCCTCTGCCCCCCCCCGCCCCGCCCGCCCCCAGCAGACTCCCTCCAGCAGCATCCAGCCGGGCGGACCCGCATCGTGCACCTGCTCCCTGGGGCTGGTCCTGAGCTGGGGCGCAGCTGTGGACCAAGCAGAAGGGACCCCGGGGCGCAGGAGTCGGTCCTGGCAACTACCCTGACCTTGGTACCCTGCTCCAAAGTCCTTGGGGCAGCAGGAACAGCCTCTCCTGCCGGCCGGGACGCAGGGCACCCCGAGACTCGGGGCAGTCCCCGCGCGGACGCCCAGGCCTGGGCCCGGCAGGGCCGGGAGCGGGGTTTCCCCTAGAGCTGGAGGACATTCCTGTGGTCACTGCCCCGGTCTCCTTCCCTGCTGGCATTCCCCTTGGGTGTTCTCGGGGGAAGGAGACTGGAGGCTCCCTCAGGGTCCCCCGATGCAGTGTCCTTGACCCCGTATCCTTCTGGGGCGCCCCTGCACCACCCTGCTGTTATGACCCACACTCTGGAAAATCTACAGCGTCCAGAGCCCTTGATGTGCCCGTGTGGTGAGGAATCTGCTGTGGAGCGGATCTGACCAGCAGAAAAGCTTTATGTGTGGGAAGTTCCTTCCTAGTTGTACTTATAAGCACAGGACTCTTCATGTCTCAAAGCAGAAAAGTGGTTAAATAAAGGCACATATGGTAGATCTTATTCTGCACAGCAGGAAGGTATCGGCAGGCATTAAGATCAAGCTGGCAAATCATTTCTAACAACCTGGTGTTTCTTATATTATAAACCTAAGTGAAAGATACAAAGCCCTAAATTCAGAGGGTGATACCCACGGTTTCCAAGGCTGGTGGACAGCACACCAGCATGTTAATAGTGGATTTGTTTTCTTATTCTCGTCTATGTTTTCCTCCCTTTTTGGCAATAAATCCATATGCTTTAATATTTAGTGAAAAAAATGAACTAAATGTTATCTGACAATCCCCTGGATTCTCCCTACTCAAGGTCACATTATATGTGTGTAGTATCTTCTTGCCCATCTCTACACAAAAGACTCCTTAGGGAGGGGGACATGCATAATGGAGTAAAGCCCGTTTGGTAGCAGCCTGGGGCAGGTGAACACGCCTCAGACCTGGGCAGGATGGCATCTGGCCCCAACAGGAGGCAGGTGCTGCTGCCCGCAGTCCCCCAGTTCTTGTGAGGGAAGGTGGATGCAAGAGTTTTCAAAAACAGAAGGGTCATGGGTGTTCTTACTTCTCTTCCTGGTTGTCTCCATCCCACATGTGATGGATTATTTTATTATGCTGATGCTGTTGTCATTTCCTATTAAATGATAAGACATGATTACACATGAGGACCTGTGTATCGTTCACCTTGGCGAACTTGCGGTGGTTTCTTCTTTTCTTTTTTCTCTTCCTTTTCGATTCTCTCTTTTGTTCTTTCTATCATGCACATGTGATTGATCAATTGACCTAGTCATCATAATAATAAGAGTGACGTTAGCTCTTGTACCCAGCCATTGGGTCATCCATCCATCCATCCATCCATCCATCCATCCATCTCCATCATCTAGCTGCTGCATGCTCTCTTGCTCTCTAGCTCTCTCTCTCTCTTTCCTCCACATTCTCCAATCTTTCTGGCCCCTTCCTGGGGTGGCAAATGTGACCCTTTGGTCCTCTCAGTGAGTTTATCTTCACTCCATGAGCCTGCATCTCAATGCAGATGATTCAAACCCAAAACTCCAGTCATATCTCAATTGTTTTTAGAAAAATCTTAAACCTTATCTTGCAACTTGGATGTCCTACTTATGCTCCTAGCCCTGCTCACATGCTGTTGGAGGAAGACACACAAAAGGACAGATGCTCAGTGTCCCCTGGCCTGGGTGCGTGGACAGCACTGGGGACATGTAGGCAGTTCTGCATTCTCCCCTGTGGCTGCCATTCACTCGGAGTCAAGATGCCCAATACATGAGTCTGCAGATGTTTTCTACCCTTTGGCCCCCTTCCTTGCTCTCTTACCCATGGTTTCTACCACCCCAACTCCTTTGTGATAAGAAACACCTGCAAGGCAAACACCCTTTCTTTGGTAGCAGCAGAGCTATGACCTGGATGCAATTGTATGCAAAAGCGACAAAGCTCCTTTCCTTTGCTAAGAACAAAGAGGGGAAGGGCAATGAAGTCTCCATCTTGCCCCCTTGGTGACAGGTGATGAGTTGCAACCTGATGGAAGGGGGGCCTACCCTACAACCTGGGGCACCCTTCACCCCAACCCTGAGCTGTTCACAACTCTATCATTGTCCCACACAGGTGGCTTGACATGTCTTTGTCTTCTCTCAGGTCTCCTCTGGCTCCTTCCCTGGCCAATATCTCCCCGTCTGCCTCAGTTTCCTCCCAAGACTCCCCTTTGGTCAGGAGTCCTGCACAACTCAAGTGACCTATGGACCTCTGCTGTGCTAGTTGATTTGTAGTTGCATCATTAGGAACTGTTGACTTAGGACAAAGGAGTACCTTCTCCATAAAATAAATTCAACTCTGTAGCATCGATTCTATGAGTCCCTACTATGTCTTGTGGTGAAAAATTCCCACCGAGTGCTGCTGACTGGTAGAAAGGAGGATTGTCCATTAAAACTGTCATTTGTAGGGACCTCTCTGTGGCGCAGCGGGTTGAGCGCCATGCTGTAAAGCTGTCCGTAGCCTCTGCAGCATGGGTTCAATTCCTGGCCAGCCAGGGAGATTGCCACATGGCGCAGCAGGCCTCTCCTGCCGCCCGCTGCTCCCCTCAGCAGTGTATTTCGGTCTGTCTGCCTGTTCTGCTACCCGCTCTGTCTCTGGTGGCTTCTTTCACCCTCCTGCGTCTCTGACCTGTACCCCAGCTCTTGTATAAATAAATAAATCAAAATAAAATAAAATAGTCATTTGTATTGCCTCCTCCCAGGTCTCGGGGGCATCTGCACTAATCCTTGGCACCCTCGAGTCACCCAAGAAAGACACACAACTGGCTGTGGACCCTCGCATTCAGGCATGCCAGCTGTCCTCACATTTGACAAATAACCTTAGTCTTCACCTTGCTGTCAAAGCAGCACAAATCCAATTAAGAAAAATTTTCCAAAAGAAATAACAGCATTGTTCACCTTCCCTGCCTCCCTACCCTTGCCACCGCTTTCTCTCCTGGAATAATGCTATGCTGATAGGAAGGTGGATAAATTAATTACAGTATGGAACGTTATCGTGGCTAAGAAAGAACACTAAACCTACACATACAATGTTTGACGTTTGAATACAAACACTGCTGTTACGATTTTTTAAAAAGAACCCAATGGATCCAGCTTACACAGACATAGGCACAATCCTTTTTTAATGCTGTGGATTTAAAATCGCAAAGGTAACAATACGATGGGTGTTTAGTCAGCCTGAGAACAGGGAGACACAGGAATGAGATTAGCATCTTTTCAGTTGCCCTCTTGTCTGATATGATTTTGGTATTCCTCCAATTCCTGGTAACACAGAAACACTGCTGTGATCAAGCTCCCTGAATGGAAGGAACTGGCAAATCTGAATTTAAAACCCATGCAGGCTGCCTTTCTGAGAATGCCCACAAAGGTCACTTTTTTAGAAACAGGAGAGTCCACAGTCATTGCCATGGTTTCTACGCTATTTCAATCAGGACCTTCCTCTTGGACGTCTGGATTCGTGTGGCTTACTGCAGGACTGAGGAGTAAGTGAAGAAATCAGACTTTGAGTTGGCCATGGTGGAGAGGGCAGTGAGAGGAAATATATTCAACAATCTTTAGAAAATCAAATTCCAAAATACCCTCAGGTGCAGAATTTGTAAACAGTGAAGAGGTTTTGATGACAACTTTGATTTTCAGATTGTACCTTCATTTAACTAATGTCCTAGTCTGAA